GTCAAGGAAACTCCGGGCCCTGGAGAAGAGCCGTTCTCCAAGCAGCCTCGGCCAGCTGCTAGCTCAGGAGCAGATAGCAACGAAAAGGTGTGTACGGATTATTGGGATGTACCCTATGACCCCATTAATGAGACTATCTTTGGGTACTCCGAGCAACGCCCGCCTCTCGTGCTCGAGGTCATCTGCAAAGGACGACGCCTCCAAGCACTCGTGGACAGCGGAGCATCTCACACCGTCTGCGACAAGGCAGCAATCGACCGACTTCGGGAAGAGTACAAGCCTTCACGATTCTCTGCAACGATGGTGGATGGCAGCAAGCTACCAGTACACGGAGAAGCAGTGTTACACCTACAAATTGGACCACTGCGCTGGAGACCTGCACTCCCCATCACCAACATCAAAGGGCTTGACTTGATCTTCGGGCGAGACTTCCTGAAAAAATTCAACCCCGAGATCAACTGGGTGAACCGCACCGCAAGCATCTACAACAATGGACGGAGAGTACAGCTACCCAACTGGGACGATACTGGAGATATCCCAGTGGAGACACTCGCACGATTCGAGAAGGATGTGAAGCGGACCGACATCGGGTTCCTGGCGATAGCAACAGAGGTGGAGAATGACGGAGAGGAAGCCTTGGAAACTCCAGAAAAAATCAAGGAATTATTAAAGGAGTTCCAAGATATTCTTCCTGACGATCTTCCGAACGAGCTACCGCCATACCGAACGCATCAACACGAGATCGTGGAGGAACCGGGTTCGAAGCCGACCTTCCGAGCACCATATCGGCTCAGCCCTACGGAGCTGACTGACATGAAAAAACAGATCGAGTATCTCCTAGCCAAAGGACTCATCCGGCCATCCACTTCGCCGTACGGTGCCCCAGTACTCTTCACACCGAAACCGGACGGGAGCCTGCGCATGTGCATCGACTACCGAGCCTTAACAAGCAGACCATCAAGAATAAATATCCGATACCGCGAATCGATGACCTGCTTGACCAGCTTCGGGGAGCTACGGTATTTTCCAAACTGGATCTGCGGTCCGGATACTGGCAAATACGCATGGCGGACAACTCTACCCACAAAACTGCTTTCCGAACTCGGTACGGGTCGTACGAGTATTTGGTCATGCCGTTCGGACTCACCAACGCACCAGCGACGTTCCAAGCAGAAATGAACCACATCCTACGCCCACTCTTGGACGAATGCGTGGTGGTGTACCTGGACGACATCCTCATCTACTCGCGCGACATGAAGCAGCACGTCGAACACCTGCGACGCGTCTTCGAAATTCTTCGACGGGAACGTTTCTACATCAAACTGTCCAAAAGCGAATTCGCCCTGGAGAAGGTCCAATTTCTAGGACACATGGTGAGCGCTCAAGGAGTTCACGTCGACCCCAAGAAAATCGAAGCCGTACGTACGTGGAAGACACCCGAGAACGTGAAGGAGTTGCAGCAGTTCCTAGGCTTCGCTAATTACTACAACAGGTTCGTGCCACAGTATGCGAAACTCGCAGCACCACTCACGAATCTGCTGAAGAAGAACACGCCCTACAAGTGGGAGACGAAGCACCAGGAAGCCGTGGAGCAGCTGAAACAAGCACTAACATCCGCACCGGTGCTCATCTTGCCAGATCCCGAACGAGACTACGTCATTGAAGCAGACGCCAGTGATCAGGCCGTGGGAGCAGTCTTGATGCAAGAAACTGCACGGGGCAGAACTCAACTACCCGATACACGACAAAGAGGCTCTTGCTATTGTCATTGCCTTCAAAGCATGGAGATGTTATCTCGAAGGACGTCAAACAACAGTCTACACCGACCACTGCAGTCTGAAATATCTGAAGACACAACCAACCCTTTCCAGGCGGCAGGTCCGGTGGATTGACTTCCTCGAGACACACTTCCACTACGACATCGTGTACAAGCCCGGCCACAAAAACAAAGCAGACGCCCTCAGCCGGCCTGCACACGTTGCCGCTATTCAGGCCGAAGGGATGAATCCACTAGTCAAGGGACTCTTCACACACGGGTATACCATCGACCCCGAAATTCCCTTGGCAGCAAAAAGACATCTACTACAGTGGGGCAACGACATTGCGTACCGGAAAGGATCAACGAAAATCAGGGTACCCAATTACCCTCCTTTGCGCCAGTTACTACTCGAAGAATACCACGACGTCCTCTACGCCGGACACTTCGGTAGCAACAAGACGCTGACCGGTATCGCAAAACATTACTACTGGCCTCACTTGGCAGATGATGTTCAGAAATTCGTCACCTCGTGTGATACATGTCAACGAATGAAGAGCAGTAAGAAGAAGAAAACAGGACTGCTACAGCCTCTTCCTGTCCCAGAACAGCCATGGCAAGTGGTTAGCCTGGATTTCATCACCGGGTTACCACCTACCACTCGCGGTCATGACGCAATTCTTGTCGTCATCGACAAATTCTCTAAGATGGGACACTTCATCCCAACACACACGACGGCACGCACCGAGGAGACAGCACAACTCTTCGTTCGCTACATCATCTCACAGCATGGCATTCCAACTACACTCATCTCCGACCGAGACCCCAAGTTCACCAGCAAGTTCTGGAAGGAACTTATGTCTCTTCTCGGGACCAAACTCGCCATGTCATCCGCATACCATCCGCAGACAGACGGACAGACCGAACGCCTCAACCAAATTGTTGAGCAACTCCTCCGAGCAGCCTGCAAGGACGACATCTCCAAATGGGACTTGCACCTGCCCGTACTAGAGTTTGCTTACAACAATGCTACGCATGCCGCTACTGGACAAACACCGTTCTTCCTCTGCTACGGACGCCACCCACTCACACCACAGAAACCGACAGCATCAGCTACAGTCCAACCAGCACATGATTTCATTACAACCATGCATCAACTTTGGGATCGGACCCATAAGCGCCTCCTTGACATTCAACAGCAACAGAAGCGCCAGGCCGATCGCCATCACAACGACCACACCATTTCCGTGGGAGACCAGGTGCTCCTCGACACCCGCAACCTGGACATCAGCCATCTCCCATCTAAACTTCGACCTCGCTTCTGCGGGCCTTTTCTCGTTGAAGCACAGGTCACTCCTGTTACCTTCCGCTTACGCCTGCCAGCTCACTGGAAGATTCACAACGCCTTCCACGTCCAACTTCTGAAGCCCTATCAGGACCCGAACACAATTTTCGTCGGACGCCAACCGCCGCCGCCACCGCCCGTCCTCGTCCAGAATGAACCCGAGTACGAGGTCGAGTCCGTGCTCGCACACCGCCGTCGTCGGAATGGCACCGTGGAGCTTCTCATCCGTTGGAAGGGTTATGATCCTTCTGAGGACAGCTGGGTACCTGAGTCCGACATGGGTAACGCCCGTCGTCCTCTGCATGACTACCTTGTAAAGCAGGGTGTTACTTCTACCACCCAGCTTTGAGGGGGGGAAGTGTGAGCGTACGACCCCGTTACACCACTTGGCCTTTTCTTATTTCCTTCCCTTTTCATTTCTCTTTTTACCGCATCTCATTTGGGTTCCTATTCTTCGTTTCCCATTAACCTTTGGTTTATCCTGCTATTATAAGTATATCACCGACCAGGCTTGGGATGTATTGGTGCGCTATATCTAGCGTAATCCTGCCGTAATCCCTTAAAGCCAATGGCCTCGCGTGGCTATACGCAGGGTGATTCTATATTCTAGAAGGGTCTATTCCTTTGGATAGGATAAACCTGGTTACCTGATGTACTATGGAAGTATAAAAGCGCCTTGTACTCATCGATAGTGCAACCTTTCCTCGAGACATTCGATCCTGTGACAAACACAGCTAATATCTTTACGAAGGCGCTTGCGCCTAAAGATCATCAGCGGCACTGTGTACAGCTAGGTCTTGTTCCTGTAGCCTCTCATTTGCTAGGACCTTGATTGTGTACTGACCTTTATATATATATCTTACCCTGACTGGCCTTGTGGCCTCTCCTTGTGGCTAGACTAGTAGTGCCGCCCTGGTCTTGCTGCTGTTTTGTCTGTACTCCTTTTGACTGGACTTTAGACCCTTGCCTCAGAGGCTGGACTAGTAGTGCCGCCCTGAGGTGCTTGTTCTCTTGTTAGGCACTGCCCCTATATAGTCTAGGGGGTGTGTCAAACATAACTTAGTATGTTATTGAAGACTATATAGGTTTGTGCCTTAGAGGGTACAACACACTAGCCTATATTGCCTTGTACTCTCACATTCTAGTTCATTCTTTCAGTTTGAGAGGTCTTAGGGTAGAAAGCTACTGGACCTTTTGTGCTCACGCCTTTGGCGGGGCGAGGACCTTTTTTTATCCTTTCCCCAATTTTTTCGCAGGTGCAATTATTCTGTAGGTGCAACACCCACGTACTCAACCCGGCCAATGGAAACAGGTGCAGACAGCACGTGAAAAAATTGTATGGCACGGTTTCCGGAACTGTAAGGCACGCCTTAATCACATTGAGAAATAGAATTTCACATTGCTCTGGACCAAATATGGCTTAGTGTGGGAAAAGCCACAGACGAGAACGGGTTGAGCCAGCCCCTTTGAATTGTCCCAGGGTCTCCAAATGACCTTCAACACATCCCACAGCGTCACCTGAATATCTATGAGTTCTCGAAGGAAACAGGGAACTCGTCACCTGCTCACGACAGTACAGGACAACATTTGGTTCAGTGCGCGGGTCTTTTTGGCTGTTGCGCCCCCTTCCTGTGTTTTAGTGCTCGGGAAATACCCCCGGCGGTCGGTTCCACGCGAACTCAGCTATAATCACATTCCGCTAAAAACAAACGCCGCCGCCTTGACATACACGCTTGATTCTAACGAGGTTTAGGGTGTACAAGAGTGGGTCGTACCCCCTAAGAACTGACCTAGCTAGGATATAACAAATATAAACTAACTAGCTCAGGTATATTTGTCGACACGTTTCCGCAAATCAAAGTCTTTGTTACGAGTACTGTTGGTGGAAAAACTTTCACTGTTAGGAGTACTGGAAAAATCACTAGTTCATAAAAACAAGTCAGGTCCATGCACTTGTAAGATAAAGACAATACGAAACAACAAGTCGAGCACAGTATGTGCTACGTCAGCCTCACAGGCTGGTATATGGTAAACAAACCAAGGTAAAAAACGTGGAACCATGCTGACATAACAGCATGCTGCAGAGGAACGCAGAGGCCAGTGCACACAGGAGCCTACATGCAGATGCAGGCAGGGAGCACTGTTGCACACTGCAGAGTGACAGCTGTGAGCCTCTCAACCACCTCCCCCATGTCAGGGCGGGAGGCAGGGGAACGGTGCCAGCACTGCCTCATGAGGGCTGAGAGGGGTGCCGGGCACCATGAGGGGATGTCCGGGCGCAGACCCTGCGGCAGAGTGGGGGAGATGCATGTCGGGTGGGCTATACAACCCATGCCAGCGTTGACGAAAGGGAAACTAGGGACTGCCAAGGCTACTGGGGGGGATGACGGGATGTCTGGGCACAGGCCCTGGGGATAGAGCAGGAAAGATTGACAGAACAACACAAGCCACCCCCCTCACCTGATTCACCATGCTGCAGACTTGCTCTGGCTTGAGCCCCTCAAAGGGAAACGGGTTACCACATGTTACAATCTCCCACAGCACGATGCCAAAGCTGTACACGTCAGCCATGTGGTCGTACGGCTGCTCCTTGAGCACCTGAAGCGTGGGGGTGGCGTTGAGGGAGGCGTGGAGGGGGGCAAGAGAAAGGTGGGAGTGTGTGCTGACTGAATGAGTCTCACGTCAGCCATGTGATCATACGGATGCTCCTTGAGCACCTGAGGGGTGGGAGGAGCATGGAGGGAGGTGGAGGAAGGGGATACACTAAATTGCCTAAAACTTCAGCTGTGTGGTGGTATGGCTGCTCCTGGGAATGCGGGAGTGTGCATTGAGTGTGGCATGGAGAGGGGTGGAGGAAGGGGCAAACCTGCGTTGACTCAAACATACCCATGTCTCCATATAACGCACCTCTGGAGCCATGTAGCCATAAGTGCCCGTGCGTCGCTTCATAGTCCTGTCCCCCGGCTGCACCCTCGACACGCCAAAGTCTGCTATCTTCACCACCCTGCAAATGGTGATACAACAAGCGGGTGCAGCAACACACATTATGCGTGCGAGCGTCAAAGCACAGACAGGAGGTCTAAGACAGGGTCACTGTCGAGTCCCTGCTGGAAACAAGGCAATCCGACTCCATGAGACATGGGTACAGCTGGCAGGGTCGAGTGCAGCTGGCAGGGGCGAGTGCAGCTGGCAGGGGCGAGTGCAGCTGGCAGGGGCGAGTGCAGCTGGCAGGGGCGAGTCCAGCTGGCAGGGGCGAGTCCAGCTGGCAGGGGCGAGTCCAGCTGGCAGGGCCGAGTGCAGCTGGCAGGGACGAGTCAGCAGTGGTTTGGACAGCTGCGCGTGTGTGATGTTGGCTCACCTGTGCTTCTGGTCCAGCAGCAGGTTGTCGGTCTTGAGATCGCGATGCACGATGTTGCACGAATGAAGGTATTTTAGGCTGAAAAAGGAGGGCGAGGGAGGGGCACGGGAGGAAAGGGAGGGAAGCGGGGGGGCAAAGGGCAGGGGAGGGAAGTGAGGGAAGAGATGGAGAGAGACATTTTATTATCGAGCGACACAAAAGTAAGGAGTGCATAGATTAAATGGTGGAATAAATTGGTTGAGAAAATGGACAAAAAGGTATGGACAAAGGAACAGGGCATAATGTATTTCCTTGTGCATATTGCAATTCAACATACCTTCCATTTCCTCCCTCTCAATGCAATATCAGCATGCTTCATTTCACTGCTTCTTGCCTTACTGTACTACCCACCCTTCAGCAACTTGTAACGCCAACCGCAGAGCTCGTTCCAAAGGAAGCCGCTTCTTCTTCCTGCTGTGTTTCGCTAAGAGCTGCTTCAGCGTCCCGCCGGGGAGAAACTCCAACACTAAACAGCAATCGCTTCCCACGCGTAACTGCCCCTGGTGATCCTTCACCGTCGATGTCAGATCGTACGACTCGTGTCCGCCGATTGTCGCGCCCACGAACTCGCAAATGTTCTTATGTCGAAGCTTGCTCCAAACGAGCACCTCTTGCGCAAACACATCCCGCAAAAATGCCAAATCCGCGGAATTGATTTTCCCCACGGCCTCAGGCTTCCCCGCAACCTTCACGCCCTCTTTTTCACCGCGCCCAGCCTCCCCCGTGGGACCTGCAGCCGCAACTGCACCCGCCGCGCCACCAGCGTTTTCGCCATTCCGTGCGCCAATTATTTTCCCCGCAGCCCCCGCGCCCCTGTGCACGCTCTCCCCCGTCCAATTGAGAAGCTTCACAGCAACATCTCTGCCCTTGTACTGCCCACGGTGCACGGTGCCGAACGAGCCGCGCGCGAGGAAATTGCGGATTACCAGCTGCGACGAGTCCATCTGCCACCGCGGGCGAACGCGCGTGCCGCTACGCGGCGTGCATGGTGACTGAAAATCGCGCTGCGCCTGCCGTTTTTTAGGCGACGGAGAATCGCGTTGCTCCGGCGTGACAGCGATCTCACTACTTGGCGTGGCGGCATCGCGTGCGCGCGAAGCGGACTGTTGCGGCGCAGAAACCTGCGCGGCGGCGGCGTGATTGCGCGGTGGGGCAGCGGGGTTTCGCGGAGTCTCGCAGACGACATCGAGCGGAGCTGCGCCCCCGCTGTCCCACCGGCCTTGCTCGTCGAGTAAAACGACAACAGGCGAGTCGTGTGCGCCGTCCCAGTCGTCGTCCGTCACCTCCTCTCCTTCCGTCTGCATCCGTTGCAGAAGCTCCGCCGCGCCGTAGTTGCTCGTTAGTCGCGGGAGCGCGTTCTCCGCGACCAACTCGCGCACGCCCGCCGCATCGATGGCGTGAATCTGATTGACATTGGACGATTGCTCGACCGCCTTCTCCTCTAGCGCCCGCCGCACGCGCTCCCATCCCGTCTCTCCGGGAATTTCGGTACACAACATCGAGTCTGTTTCTAACGGAGAATGAGACTCCGAGTTTCCTTCATCTACATGTGATAGAGGGCCGAAAGTCGAGTCGCCAGCGGCATTCTCGTCGCCACGTGGCTCAGCCGAGTCAAAGAAATTGACGCGAATTTCTGAGAAGTGGCTCAATCTCTGCGCCACCTCTCCGTGCGTATGACTAGAAGAAGCACAATCAGTGGCAGCCGCTGCGTGCGAATTGACCGTCTCTTGCGAAGCAATTTCGCTACCGTCGCGGCTGCTAAAGCTCCTCGCCTCGAAAGTGTCATGCGACGCACCCGAGTCGTCGTCTGACGTCACGTTCAGCCGCGCTCCTACCTCCTCCAAATTGTCCGCTGGTATTAATGCAGCTAGGCTCGCCCTAACCGACTCGTGACTCAGCTTGCCGCCATTGCCGTCAATTGCGGAGGCTGCACTCTGCTGCGTGCTAGCGAAGTGGAATGGGGCTGCAGAAGTGGCGGATTCGAAGCCTACGTCGGCGCAGGGAGAGCTGGCTAAAGCAATGGCGGCAGCCATGGTATTTTTCTTCAGGGAGAGGCTCCAACGCAACCTGCGTTCTAAGACATGAAACGTCTCGACACAACCCTGGAAAACCGCGTGCGAGGGGGATCCTGGAAAGGTGAAATCAGCTTGGCGGGGGGCGGTTGTTTCTGCACACTCTGGGTGGGAGCAGGGTCGTGGGATGTAGAGGGGACTCCCGTCGGAATCGGGTCGGGGGGACGGGGGTCAGGACAGAGAGCCCAGGGTAGGGGCAGGGGGGTGGTTGTGTGAAGGATGAATGAATTGCGTCAGGGGAGGCTGAGGTTGGTTGGCAACAAGGGCAAACAGGATTTGCTCATGGCGAAGTGCTGAATTGCTAGCCAAGCCCTACCCAAGAAAGAGCCCCTCTCGCTCACTCACCTTGCACAGGCATCTTGAACAGACACAGTACTACATCCATGTACAACGGGCAGTTCATGGGACGCAGACTCAGCCGTATTCAACGAGATCAAGAGGAACAAAGTTACTTCGTTTCGAAAGACAGGATTCAACATTTTTTTAACGCGCGTCGCAATTCACTGGTTTTGAAATCTGTCACAAACCTTCATTCTCACGGTTCGTGAGTCGTGAGGCTGGTTTGTACAACAAATCGGATCCTTATTACCTGCTGCCCTGGTTTTCGATGCCAACCTGACCGCACCTCAGCGCCCTGGGCTGGTCTTGAGAAACTGAAGTGAAGTGACCGGAGGTGGAAAGCATCTTCCGCCATGCCAGCTCGGTGCATCTCCGCAAGCACATTGGACCAAATTCAAGGAATCTTTCCAATCCGTCCTCGCCTCAGGGCAGTTGGGGACGTCGGCTCGCGCAGCCAAAAGCAACATTTGTGCCCCCACCGCGCCTCCACGGTGAAACAATTGTGTGAATTCCCATGATTTTATCGTAATAAAGGTCACCGACTTGTTGAGCCCCTCCTATAAATGTGAATTGTCAATCCACCTATCTTGTCTTTGCATGTGTACAAGTACACAAAACATCGAGCCAAAATACCGGTATGCCAGTAGCCAGCGGATTCTAAGACTGAACATGCGTTTTTGTCCTCCATCAGCACTCGACTCAGCACCTTGTAACACCTGGAGACATCAGCAGCCTTCAGTTCTTCGTCAGTAATAAAGCTGTAGTGCCATTTCATCCTCAAATAACGTGTTTGAGCACCTCCTAACACACGAAGGAGATGCCAGCAGCAGCAGCAGCAGCAACATCTGGAGCTTTCAAGCCGTCTCATGGACTATCGTGCCTTCTCATCCTCTATAAGCACACGCTTGAGCACCTCATAGCACATGAAGGAGATGCCCGCAGCAGGCATCATCTTGGCGCACGAAGGCACCACCCCCCGGTACAGCCCCTTGACGCCCTGCTCCCTCACTATGCTGCTCATGCACTGCAGCATGCCCCTGTACGCCACCCTGCCGCCCGTGGCCCCATCTGGAGCTGAAGTAGGGGGAAGAGAATGGTAGGGAGTAAGAGAGGAAGTGAGTCCCTGAGCACCTTAGAACCTGAACGTGAGTCCCTGAGCACCTGAACTTAGCACCTGAAAACAGCACCTGAACGTGAGTCCCTGAGCACCTTAAGATCCGATAACCTTAGCACCTGGAAAACAGCACTGCTGAAATGCCAGGATAGCTAGCTAGCTACCCAGCTAGCACCCTGCTTACATGTTTCCTGGCAACTTCCAGTGGGAACGTGGAGGCGGCAGCAAAGCACCCTGCAGTCGACCCAATCACCAGCGTCATCAGTGGCTCTATCTCCTCTCTCTTGCTCGCCTTCCTATACGCCGTGCACAGCGTGTCATACGCGTAGAAGTTGGCCCCTGCATATGGAATCATGCCCACCACGCTCGGCGCCACCCCCCGGTACAGCTCCCCGACACCCTGTTCTTTTATGATCTTGTGGAACGCGTGTAACACGCCGCGGTACATGTCGGGGTTCACGGTGAGTCGCGTCTTGACGAGCTCGAGTGGGTAAGTGAGGAGGCAGGAGGCGATGCCGGCTGAGGAGCCGGCGATGGAGGAGATGGGGATGGGGATGTGGCGCGGGATGATGGGCTTCTGGCCCTCTCTGGGAGTGAGAAAACGCTTCACTGTATCATACGTGAGCATCTGGAGGGGGGGGCGCAGGAGGAAGGGCGTGAGACGGGGCATGACAAGGGACACGAGAAGGGGAATGAGATGGAAGGGAGGGAGGGAGCAGCTCGAGCAGGTAGGTGAGGAGGCAGGAGGCAATGCGGGCTGAGAAGCCGGAGATGGAGGGGATGGGAATGGGGATGGGGATGGGGGTGGGGATGGGGATGTGGCGCAGGATGATGGTCTTCTGGCCGTCCATGAGAAAACGCTTTACCGAGTCGTATGTGCGCATCTGGAGGAGGGGCAAGAGACGGGGTATGAGAACGAGAATGAGAAGGCGGAGGTGGAGCTCGAGCGGGTAGGTGCGGAAGCAGGGATGATGATCGACGGCTGGACGTCCCTGCCAGTGAGGGCGAGCGAACATGCCGCAGTCAAGCTGGGCGCATTGAAGCGAAACACGTTGAGCGCGTTGCCACAAAACAGCCCCTCTTGCCCCTTTTGCCCCGTGCTTTACCGCCCCTCTCCATTCCGCGAGTCGCCAAGCCCTCTATCAGACCCAACTCAGTGGATATGCTGCGCGCCACGCGCGTCACGTTGGTCGCGTTCCCACGGAACAGCCCCATCCGCCCCTCCGAGCGCAGTTACCCGCGTCCCTTCAACACCTCCCGCCAACCACCATTCCCCCAACCACCCGCCATTCACCCCTCCCGCCACCCGCCATACCCCCCCACCCCCCCTCCCTCCCGCCACCCGCCATACCCCCCCACCCCCCCTCCCTCCCGCTACCCGCCATTCCCCCTCCCACCACCCGCCATTCCCCCTCCCACCACCCGCCATTCCCCCTCCCGCGACCCGCCATCCCCCCGCACCTCAATGGCTTTGCTGGGCGCCACGCGCATGACGTTGATGGCGTTACCGCGGAACAGCCCCATCCACCCCTCCGTGCGCAGCACCCACTGGAAGACAGCTGTCATGCTCCCATTGGCCGCCAGCCCGCCCCTGCTCCCGCACATCATGTGCGTCCGCACCGTCTCCAGCGGCGCCGTTGCTGGCAGAAGAGGGGGGACGGGGGAATGGAGGGCGGATGGCGGGGAATGGGCGGGAGAAGGGGGATGGGGGGGCGGAGAAGGGGATGGGGGGTGTGGGAGACGGGGGGAGAAGTGAGTAACGGGAGGAGAGAGGGGGGTTGTTCGGAGCCCTGCCGCACATTATGTGCGTCCGAACCGTCTCCGGCGGAACGGTTGTTGGCGGAGAGGGGGAAAGGCGGGAGGGGAAAGGGGAGGAAGGGGTACGGGGGAGGGGTTGGGGGGGGAGGGGGGCGGGATGGGGAGAGGGGAGGAGTGGGAAGAAGGGGACTTGCGGAGAGGGAGGTGGGCGCAGGGAATGCAAGAGGGGGGTAGGGCAACGGTGCATGGCATGGGACTGGTGCACTCGACGACGATGCAGCGCAACATGCGCCAACACCCGCATGCGCCAATTCCTTCTATTCTCCGCCCGCCTTTCTTCCCCGCATGCGCCAATTGTCCGCGTGCACCCACTCCAGCATGAGCCAATTCCCAACATGCGCCACTTCCCCCCATCCCCCGCCACTTTCCACCATCCGCCAAATCCCCGAACCCTTTTGCCCGTGCCCTCAGTACCCACCTGTTCTCGACACGCCACCAGCGACAGCACCGCTGACCAGCCGACTCACAGCCGGACTCAGCCGCACTTTCCCCTCTGCCTTCCCCTCCCCCTTAACCTTCTCCTTCCCCATTCCGACAGCCAGCCGCAATTCCGCCCCCGCCTTCGCCAGTTCCGCTGTCACGCGCCCCACCAGCGCGCCCAGCGCGAGCCTCACCTCCGCCGCCTCCCGCCACTCGCCCGCACTCGTCGCATGTCGCGCGCGCGACGGCAGCTCGTGCAAGTGGAATTTGATGTCGAACTCCACGTCGTCGCCTCGCAGCACGCCAGGTGTCGAAGAAGCTGTCGTAGTCGCAGTCGCACCGACGGTAGCGGACTGTGCCTCCGAAAAAATCGTCGACGATTGCGCTTCAGTTTGTCGTGGCAGGTGAAGCTGCTGATGATGATCGTGTTGCGACGACGATAGCTTCGCGATATCCACTCGCGACGTCGCAGCGTCAGCGAGCTGGCCTTGGCGAGAGAGCCTTCCCTTGCGCCGTCGGGCCGGCAGCGGCTCGGCGTGGGTGGCAGCCGGCAGCCATTGGTCGGCCGGCAGGTGCAGGCCCAGTAGACCACTGGTGTGCGTCGTCGCGGCGTACAGGGGAAGACGGACCTCTGGATTCGTCGCAGTTGCGGCGGGGATTGGGTGAGAGTTTGATGCTGACGCAGCCAGGGACGAGGAGGATGACGTGGACCAATGGCTATCGGCTGGCGTGGCGTTGTCGGCGGACCTGAGGCTGGCCATTGATTATATTTTTTTAGAGAAAGAAATGAAGAGGAAGAGAAGCCCCACTCTAACTAGATAACTAGAAAAACACGATTGCCGATTATCTAGTTCTTATCTAGTTCATGAACTGTGTGGCGTGGGAGGCCGACGACCTGATTGCGGACGCGAGGTAAGGGTATCGGAAGAAACCCTCAACCCTGCACACGAGGCGCCACTGTCATCAGATTGTTGTGCCTCCAAAAAAGAGCTTCAAACGGCCCCAGGTGGGTGCTATATGAGGGGGGGAGATGGAGGCTATATGTCACCTGAGGAGAGGAGAGGGGACAGCCCCTGTGAAGTGTGAGATGGGGGGGGGAAGGGGAGGGGAGTGTGCCAGGGACATGATCTGGATAATGGAACATCGCACATGTGACGAGAGGAGGCAGAGGGGGGAGGGGAGGGAGCCTCCGCGTGGGGAGAAGGGACGAAGGCTTTGGTTTGGATGCGTAGGCGCGATTGGACTGTGTGCGAGCTGGTTTAATTCGGTTGAGAGAGTTTGGATGATATGGGGCTGGTTTAGCGCGGTGCGATCAAAGGTGCACGTCGAGCCCTCCAGGTGTGCCGTGTCAGCCTGCCCAGAAGTGATCCACTGGGCAGTAAAACGGGCAGATATCCGCCGCTCAACCCCAACGTTGGTCGGCGTTGGGACCCGGGTGTTCAGTCCAGCGTCGCCATAGGTGCTGCCTGCCACGTCACGATGTGACTTTTTCCTTCATTCGGGGCAAAAAGTACACGAGGATGATGATCCCATCCATCCATCCCATGATCCCCCCACAATTGTGGTGACCCCAGCGAAGGGCATCCATGTGGAACAAACCCCCCACCCATACCCATATGCACATGGAAGGTACGGTTTGTCACGGTTCAGTACGGTTACTAGAGAGCCTTGGTTATCATCCCATTTCATAATACTTCCGTTTACAACGGTTGGGTGAGGTTCTAAACATAAACCACCTAACAGTTTCCACTACGTCTGATTTCATTGATATGTCTAACAACTTGTTACGATAAGGAATTACTTGCATTCCTGAAAGTGACACTCGAGCCGTAACCCTTGACGAGTCCAAGCTTATGACGCGAATCGAAGCACGAAGTGCAACGGTCGTTGACCAGGATCTCATACTTCACGCTAAAAGGGCCTGAAAAGTTGTATATCATAATGTTTTTTAGGGCATAACCTGATTTTCCAGCATTCGATGTTGGCCAAACCTGAAATTTTTTTGTTCCCAGTTTCGTAAGCCTGGAAAAACGTATGTTCTAGTTTAGCCTGTTAAAATTATATAAGTTATAATTTATATAGGCTTGGTAGGTTGTTACTGAACCTTTTCTGTAGAGGGTACAAACCCCTCCTTGTACTCCTCTCTCTTCCTAATCCAACCCTCTTTTCCTCTCCTCAACTTTCCTAGCACCTAAAACCTCTCGCCATTCTCATGGCTCCTCCTAGCTCCTAGCTAAACCTTGTGCCATTCTATGGCTTCCTAGCTAAGCTAGTCTTTTGACATGGTATTAGAGCAGTTCGTTCCGTGTGGGCCTGCTCCTCGCGTTTCCGCTGCGTGCTCGTTTCTCTCTCTATCTCGCGCTGCCATGGCGGCCGCGTCAAGCTGCTGTGGCCGCGTCGTCGTGCCGCGGCGCCGCTGTCGACGTCCATGGCGCCCGCGTCCAGCTGCTGTGGCCGCGCCGTCGTGCCGCAGCTCCGCCGTCGCGTCAAGATGCTGTCGCGACGTGACGGCGCCGTCACGCTGCCGCGGCGTCTACGCGACAGCGCGCAGTCGGCGTACCAGCGACGTCGTGCTGCCGTCGCAGCGTCGACGCCCCGCTGCGGCATCGACGCCGCTCCATGACGGCGTCGTCGGGCTGCAGCCGGCCGCGTGACGCTTGTGGCGCCGCTAGACCGGCCGCCCGCATGTCAGCCTGTGGCGCCGCCCCCCCCCCCACCCCCCCTCCTTCCCCTGCGCCCTCTTCCATTCCGCAGACGACGGCTGACTCCCGCCGGCCGTCCCACAGTCGCGGGGCCAGGCCACGTCACCGAGAGGTGCGGGTGCCGCCGCCGCTGCCGCTGTTGTCGAAGCCGCCGCCGCCGCCGCTGTCGCCGCTTGCGTCGGGGCCACGCAGCCGCACGCCGCCGCCGCCGCCGCTGTCGACACTGCCGCCGCTGCCGCCGTCGCCGCCGCAGCCCCTGCGGTCGACGTCGCCGCCTCACGCGCCGTGGGGTCGACCGACCTAGAGTCGCTGTCACTGTGGCTGGAATGGGGGTGCTAGGTTAGGGGGTGTGGGTGTGTGTGGGTGTGTGACTACCAAGCCTAGGGGGTGTGTTAAAATTATATAAGTTATAATTTATATAGGCTTGGTAGGTTGTTACTGAACCTTTTCTGTAGAGGGTACAAACCCCTCCTTGTACTCCTCTCTCTTCCTAATCCAACCCTCTTTTCCTCTCCTCAACTTTCCTAGCACCTAAAACCTCTCGCCATTCTCATGGCTCCTCCTAGCTCCTAGCTAAACCTTGTGCCATTCTATGGCTTCCTAGCTAAGCTAGTCTTTTGACATAGCCATGCCTGACGAATCAGCCTCTACAGAATTTTAGCCTGGAACACAAAACCCTATCTAAGAGGGTGTCCGTGTCAACTTATACATATGCTTTGTACGTAGAAGTTGTAGGCTAGATACGTTTGTGTTCTTAGAGGGTACCGTACAACTCCAACCCTATATGTCACCAATATCTCCTTGTTCTAGTCACTAAGCTACTCTAAGATGGTATCACGCTAGGTAGGTCCCACCCACCTGCGCTTCCGCCCTAGCCAACCATAGAGCGCATCGCCCTAGCCTACCGTAGAGCGCCCCGACCTAACCCGTCGCACCGCGCCGCCCTAGTCCGCCGCGCCGCCCTCGTCTCGCCGTGCCGCCCTCGTCTCGCCGTGCCGCCCAAGGCGGCAGCGCCGCCCTCGTCTCACCGCGCCGCCCTAGCCCGCTGCGCCAGCCCCGTTTCGCCGCGCTAACCCTGCCCGCCGCACTGGCCTCATCCCGCCGCGCCGTCCTGGTCCGCCGCGCTGGCCCCGTTCCGATGTGCTGGCCTCATCCCGCTGCGCCGCCCTAGCCCGTCGCGCCGGCCCTGTTTCGTCGCGCCCCCCTAACTCGTTGCGCCACCCTAGCTCATCGTCGGCTCCAGCTCGCCGCTAGCTCTCAGCTCGTCGCTAGCTCTCAGCTCGCCGTGCGCCCCCAGCTCGCCATCGGCCTCAGCTTGCCGCGCGACCCCTAGCTCGCCGGCAGCCTCCGCTTGCCTCGCCGCCCCAGCTCGCCGCCGGCCCTAGCTCACCGCGCTACCCCAGCTCAACGCCAGCCCTAGCTCGTCGCTGGCCCCAGATCGCCGCGCCGGCCCAACTCGCCGCCGGCCCCAGATCGCCGCATCGCCTCAGCTCGCTCCCGGCCTCGTCTCGCAGCACCGCCCCAGCTCCCCTTGCCGGCCCCTCCACGCCGCCAGCCCTGGTTCCCCTCTGAGTCAGCACTCCTGTCAGCTGCCTCCTCTCGCGACTTCATTGCGCTCCACCGCACACTATTGCACTTCACAATATTCCAAAGCACTCCATCGCACCGCACCGCTCTTCACCGCACTCCAACGCGTCCGCCTGCTCCCTACTCCTCCTCCTATGTCCTTCAGCTGCTGCAGCTGTGCACGATGGCGGACGTCGTTCTCCGCCTGCATGAGGAGGATCGGGCTGTTGACTTTGAGGCATGGCTCGCCGACCTGCGCCGCCAGTTGAAGGGTCAGTGCCCTGGTCGTCCACGTCGACGGTAGGCTGCCCTGCCCCCCCACGCCTGATGCTCTCCGTGATGCCCCCACGCCATATGAGCGTGAGGCTTTTACAACTGCTGAGCTCGCCCGCTCTGTCTGGGAGTCACGAGACGCCATCACGCAGCTTGCTATCAGTTATGTTCTCCCCTTGTCCAAGCGTCCTCGCTTTCAGGTCGTAGAGACTGCGAAGGAGTACCTAGATGCAGTCATTGCTCGCTATTCCACTCCATCCTCCTGCCCCTGCTCTTCCCTGATCTTGCGTCCTTCCACACTATCGCGGATCATGCCACGCACCTGCGCGTTCTTGATTCTAGCTACTGCGCTGCTAGCACTGAGGCTCATCTTACTGTACTTCCTCCTCCCCTCGATGCCACGCTTTAATTCCTAGCCACGCGCCTGCCTCACCACCTAGCCACTGCCCGTGACACCTTCCTTAGTCTCCACCCTGCTGACCTCACCCTTACTGACTTTGTCACCACCGTGTTGGCGATAGAGACCCGCCAGCGCAACATCGCTCAGTCTAGCGGTATTGCAGTGGTCCCTATCTTCCAGGGTTGTGCACCCTCCTAATGCACATACTCTGATGTTTCTGCTGCTATCGCTGAGACAGTCCCTGTCGCTGAGACCACCGCAGCGGGTGGGGAGGGGGCGTCGCTCCAGAGGGGGGCGTTGGGAAGGGTGGGTTGCTGGGGGTTGCCGGGGGGGGGGGGGGGGTGGAAGCTGTGCTAGCGCATGAGGTGCAGACGAGGGGGTGGGGGCTAACGCCTCGGCGCAGCAGCAAAAGCAACAGCAGTGGGGGGCCCCGCCGCTGTGGTGGCCCAGCGGCTTTGATGGTGGTGGCCGTGGAGGTGGCCCTCGCAGCTCGACGTCGGGTGGCGGCTCCAGTCCAGTAAGTTGCCAGTACCAGATCTGGTCTGGCCCCCTTCGTGGCACCGTGTGTGATCCTCCCGGCCACATTGCTGCCACGGCTAACGCCGCTTCGACGACCTCTTCCCTCTCCGCTTCGGGCCCACGCCATCCCTCCCGGACCGACACAGCCTGGTAAGTCATCGTGTGCCGGTCTTTAAGCTAGATATGGATCAGATTTTCTCTACTATGTAAAGCATATATCCTGCTCACTCTAGTGTAACTGTACTGTACTACCTTTTGTTGCCTTGTGTCACAGGATCGAATGTGTCGAGGAAAGGTTGCACTATCGATCAGTACAAGGCGCTTTTATACTTCCAGAGTGCATCAAGTAACCAGGTTTATCCTATCTAAAGGAATAGACCCTTCTAGAAAATAGAATCACCCTGCGTATAGCCACGCGAGGCTATTGGCTTTAAGAGATTACGACAGGATTACGCTAGATAGCGTGTCTAGAACATTCCATGCTTGGTCGGTGATATAATTATAATAAGGGAAGAAACCAAAGGATAATGGAAAATGGGGAATATGAGGCAAAAGGAGATGAGATAAAAAGAGGAATGAAATGAAGATGAAATATGGAAAAAGGCCAAGTGGTGTAACGGAGTCGTACTCTCACACTTCCCCCCCTCAAAGCTGGGTGGTAGAAGTAACACCCTGCTTGACAAGGTAGTCATGCAGAGGACGACGGGCGTTACCCATGTCGGTCTCAGAGACCCAGCTGTCCTCAGAAGGATCATAGCCCTTCCAACAAATAAGAAGCTCCACGGTGCCATTCCGACGACGGCGGTGTGCAAGCACGGACTCGACCTCGTACTCGGGTTCATTTTGGACGAGGACGGGTGGCGGCGGCGGCGGTTGGCGTCCGACGAAGATCGTATTAGGATCTCGATAAGGCTTCAGAAGTTGGACATGGAAGGCGTTGTGAATCTTCCAGGTAGCTGGTAGGCGTAAGCGGAAGGTAACAGGAGTGACCTGTGCGTCAACGAGAAAAGGCCCGCAGAAGCGAGGTCGAAGTTTAGATGGGAGATGGCTGATGTCCAGGTTGCGGGTGTCAAGGAGAACCTGGTCTCCCACGGAAATGGTGTGGTCGTTGCGATGGCGATCGGCCTGGAGCTTCTGTTGCTGTTGAATGTCAAGGAGGCGCTTATGGGTCCGATCCCAAAGCTGATGCATGGTTGTGATGAAGTCGTGTGCAGGTTGGACTGTTGCTGGTGTTGTCGGTTTCTGTGGTGTGAGTGGGTGGCGTCCGTAGCAGAGGAAGAACGGCGTCTGTCCCGTAGCGGCGTGTGTAGCGTTGTTGTAGGCAAACTCCAGGACGGGTAGGTGCAAGTCCCATTTGGAGATGTCGTCCTTGCAGGCTGCTCGGAGGAGTTGCTCAACAATTTGGTTGAGGCGCTCGGTCTGTCCGTCTGTCTGCGGATGGTATGCGGATGACATGGCGAGTTTGGTGCCGAGCAGAGACATAAGTTCCTTCCAGAACTTGCTAGTGAACTTGGGGTCTCGGTCGGAGATGAGTGTAGTTGGGATGCCATGCTGTGAGATGATGTAACGAACGAAGAGCTGTGCTGTCTCCTCGGTGCGTGCCGTCGTGTGTGTCGGGATGAAGTGTCCCATTTTGGAGAACTTGTCAATGACGACAAGGATGGCGTCATGACCGCTGGAGGTAGGTGGTAACCCGGTGATGAAGTCTAGGCTAACCACTTGCCATGGTTGTTCTGGGACAGGAAGAGGCTGCAGTAGTCCCGCCTTTTTCTGCTTGCTGCTCTTCATCCGCTGACATGTATCACACGAGGTGACGAATTTCTGGACGTCGTCTGCCATATGGGGCGAGTAGTAGTGTTTGGCGATACCGGTCAGCGTCTTGTTGCTACCGAAGTGTCCGGCGTAGAGGACGTCGTGGTATTCTTCGAGTAGTAACTGGCGCAAAGGAGGGTAATTGGGTACCCAGATTTTTGTGGATCCCTTCCGGTACGCGATGTCACTGTCCCACTGTAGCAGATGTCGCTTTTTTGCCAAGGGAATTTCGGGGTCGATGGCGTACCCGTGTGTGAAGAGTCCCTTGAGTAGTGGATTCATCCCTTCGACCTGAATCGCGGCAACGTGTGCAGGCCGGCTGAGCGCGTCTGCTTTGTTCGTGTGGCCGGGCTTGTACACGATGTCGTAGTGGAAGTGTGTCTCGAGGAAGTCGATCCACCGGACCTGCCGCCTGGAAAGGTTGGGTTGTGTCTTCAAATATTTCAGGCTGCAGTGGTCGGTGTAGACGGTTGTTCTTCGTCCTTCGAGATAGCATCTCCACGCTTTGAAGGCGATGATGATAGCAAGAGCCTCTTTGTCGTGTATCGGGTAGTTGAGTTCTGCCCCGTGCAGTTTCTTGCTGAGGTAGGCAATGGGTTGCAGTCCATTCCCTTGGTCTTGCATCAAGACTGCACCCACGGCCTGATCACTGGCATCTGCTTCAATGACGTAGTCACGTTCGGGATCTGGCAAGATGAGCACCGGTGCGGATGTTAGTGCTTGTTTCAGCTGCTCCACGGCTTCCTGGTGCTTCGTCTCCCATTTGTAGGGCGTGTTCTTCTTCAGCAGATTAGTGAGTGGTGCCGCGAGTTTCGCATACTGTGGCACGAACCTGTTGTAGTAATTAGCGAAGCCTAGGAACTGCTGCAACTCCTTCACGTTCTCGGGTGTCTTCCACGTACGTACGGCTTCGATTTTCTTGGGGTCGACGTGAACTCCTTGAGCGCTCACCATGTGTCCTAGAAATTGGACCTTTTCAAGGGCGAATTCGCTCTTGGACAGTTTGACGTAGAATCGTTCTCGTCGAAGAATTTCG